GAGGACAGATAACTTTGAGAAAAAAAAACTTCTGGTACATTTTTTGTCGTATGGCCTCTTATTTATCGGAGTGTTAGGTGGAGAAGAAAGCACTACAGCCCAATATCCACTATTAGCTTGTTAATAGGGCTGTTGACCAAGGCTGTTCACAAGAATCAGCAAAACAGCTGCATTTTTTAGCTTTTTTATTTTCACTCCTCATTTTTATTTACTTATTTTTTCTTTTGCGTCTGTTCCGGTCGACATTTCCTTTTAGCCAAGCTAATGACAAAAATTGGAGAAAAAAGGAAAAAATCACTTCTAACGTTACCAAAAAAAATCCATCTTATTCGGTTAAGATCCTTGTCTCAGTAGTGCACAAAAAAAAAGAGGCAAATACCCTGTAAAAGGTTTTTGCTTTTTTTCTAAATTCCAGTTACTTTTCGGGAACTTGTTGTACAGTGTAATGATAACGCAGACTTAATGATACTGTCTGAATCTGTATGCATAATGCTAAAGAACTTAAACCAGCAGCAAATGACCGACGTGTTGCGAACCCCTTGCAACAAGATCTTTTCTTCTGGAGAACAGTAGCTGTTATCAGCCGCTGAAAATCGCATAATTTACAGATGTATTTTTATGCTATTTCTGTGTGTAAATCGTTTTGAGACCAATGGAGTCCAATATTTTTAAAGCAAATTTAAAAAATTTCCAGATATTTGGGCTTAAACAGTAATTAATTAGTGAAATATAACGTTTTGAAAACTTTGTTGAACAGAAGGTAGCCAAACAGCGCACTGAGCTGAAAAATTTTGATAGCTGTGTCGCGACTGCTCGCGAAAGGCACCGCAGGGAATGTTCTAAATCATTGTAGCTCCCTGAGGAGCTCTCGGAGAGGTTACAGATTAACCACCTAAGCAAATGGAAGTCAGCTATAAAAGAGGCAGTAATCTCAAGGTTCATAAGTCTTCTTGGTTGTCAATACTGACATCAAAAATGTCTTCGAGTGCTTCAAGCGTCGAATCTCCATTCAGCAATTTCTTGCATTCACTGCTTGATTTTGTGTTTTTTCTATACTTTATTTCGTACCCATTTGGCAGTTTTGGATCTTTTAAGAGATTTTAGAGTTGATATCATTTTAGGCACAGAAGTCGGATATGAGTAACTATTGGTTGGTGGTGTGGTGGGTAAAGATTAATTACGCTCACAGTTGAAGTCGCGTAACATAGGAGCCCACATGCGAAGTGAACAAAGGGATACAGTAGTAGTAGTTCTTCAGTTTAGGGAAGTGCCCGCTAGCCAGGACAAGCTGTGTTATGTAATAAAGAGAGAATGTATGATGTACTCAGATCTGACTTACCGGAAATTACTGGCTTTTTTACTTTTGTATTTTTAACTACGCTCATATATAGCTTATAATGGAACTAGACGCTTATTAAGTTGAGATGTTTGTTGCACCCACCAACACTATCTTTAATTGGGGAGCTTTCTATTCCTTTACAGTGTTTCTATTGGGGGCCTTATTTCTACAGTTGACTTGCCGCAAGCACTGGTAGTTGACGGTGCCTGCATTGTTAATTTGAGAATTGTTCAAGCTTACTTTTGCTGCACAATTATGTTATCGAACACCTTGATATTCTTGCAAACCTTTGGATTTTACCAACGCGCTCGGAGGTAAGGATGACAGGCTGTTACAAACGACAGTGGTTATTTAATAACGTTTTTCAACACCAAAGTTTATACCAATTATAATTAGGAGGGTAAATAGGCACTTGCCCACAACCCTAAGTAATGCCATTGCCTTAACAGCAAGTAAATATTAGCAAGAGAGAAAAAACGATATAGTCTGCCAGATGGGTACGATATGAAGCACAAAACCGAACTTGAAGCACCGCCTCCTGAAATTATAAATCTAGAGGTTTAGATCTTACTGTAGAGTTGGTTTCTGCAGATACGCTGGAAACTGTGATGCACCAGTAAGGCTTTAGTGTCGAAAAAACACCGAAATTGCCGCGACCAAGTCGGAGTTCTGCGTGTAATTGTGCAAGTCGGGTATTCCCAAAGCAAAAAAACATCAATTGGAAAAAAGCCTTAGATTACAAATTATTATACTTTGACGATTATTACAGTACAATGCAATCATTGCTGGAAACAAAAAATCACCGCTGCTTAAACCTGGATTTTCTTTTTGCAGGTCAGCCTCTCCACGTCCTTTACATTGGTAGGATCTTCGTAGCAAGTCCGAAGCAAGTAACCAAACTGCAGCTGCTACATGAATTACTATTGTCGAAACCGCAAGAGACCTCACAAATTCACATATGACCAGAAATCCAGACTAGTTTTGAGTCTTGTCGAGTCCACCAGCCTTGCGTTTAGGAAACACTCTTTTCGAACACGTGTATATCCCCCCCTTATAACCTAAAATACAACCTTCTTTGGATATTTATTATAAAACTTGTGTCGCGTCAAGCGAACATTCTCAAGCTGGAGGAGGGGGGGGGGAAACGACGGATCGGGAGCATTTCCCCAAGCTAGGGAGATGGGAAAAGATAAAGGCGAACCCGTCAAATCTGCGAGGAAAGAACTGCAAACCCGACGAAGATACCTATTGTGGATAAAGAGCCGGCGGGGTTGGATCAACGCGGGATGTCAACCCCGCCCAGTACCGGATGACTATATAGCCGGGAGAAGGGATCGATGAAGGAGTGATATGAGTCTGACTGCTTACCTATATGATTGACTGTATTTACTTTATGATGTTTTGATGTGATTTTATGTTATAGATATAACCCTCTGTTGGAATGTTTTTTTTATGATTTTGATTCTATGGTTTGATTACCCGAGTTTGAGGTTTTCGCTGTATTTGTATTCGCTGATCGAAATAAAATCTTTAAAACCCAAGACCCGCGTGGCAGCATTTATCCATCAACAGCGACCAAATTCTGCAGATATCAATCCAGAAGATCGAGTAGCAACCAAAGGAAGCAAAAGGAAAAAGAAGAAAAAATATCATTTTATTTCATAATTTGCTTTAGAAAATTTTAAACCCTTTACCGCCGTTTAACTTCTATGACACCAGCTACTTCAATTATAAACCATTCTAAAGTAACTGCAGAAAGCACTGACCATAATCCCACTGAACTAAGACAAAAAGCCAAAACAGAAAGCCCAAAAGTTTAGTCTGTGACTCAGCACCAATAGTGTCATTAAGCTATGAAAGTCACACAAAAGATAGTAATTAATCATGTTTGCAACTCAGGCGCATAGGCGTTATTGAAAACAACCCAATGCGTTGTTTTCAACAAGGCCTATGTGCCTGAGTTGCATGAAGATTATGAAGATTCAAAAGCATTACCATTCTCAAGCAACCTCGGAAGCCAATTATATTTTCTAAGCAACAGCCAGTGGTAAAAAAATTACTGGAATTTAAAATACAAGTGACACTCCAGTAGAAATTATAACCCAATGCACAGGATGTGAAGAGATAACAAATAACTAGAACGCTCAAACAATGAAAATTATTTGTTCGAATTCTAAAAATAGCAGTATATCCGGCACAGAAAACTATATTTAGAGGAAGGGCTTACAGAATTGGTAAACTGTAAAAAGAAACTAATAAAAGGAAAAAGTCGAAAATATGTTAGAAGTATAAATACGTTCAGACATTTACAATGATGTTAATATCTACAATCAGTTTTTTAAAAAAAGACAGATATCATAGAGCAGTTAAAGACAACAAAAACTATTTTAAAGATTTTCATACAACATGTTATTACTTTTCAACTTTCTGTTTTTCAATTATCTTCAAAAAATCATTTTTGTCGGTTTCAATAGAAGATATAAAAAGATCTTCTTCGAAGGAAGTGTTTTGAGACTCCTGAACATTTACACCTATTTTTTGATCTTTTTCACCTGAAAAATTAAATTTATTTGCCAAGAAACTACATTTATTTACATTTTTATTCAATGCATATTTCAATTTCTAACCACAGGTGTCGTATTTAGACCATTCTGTAATTGAACCGCCCAGTTCCATCGCAAGATCTTCCACAAAATTCCTGGTCTTAATTAAAAGAATCCTGAATGCAGGATCTCGTAATCTTGAAGCTACTAAGCTTTTAAGCAGCGTCTCGTTGTTTGAGATGTCATTCAGAGATAAAAGCGGCTCTGTTTGTACGCCCTGAATGTAGTTTTTCTAAGCTTTTGAGAGTTAAGTCACAGAAAGTAAACAATTTCTAGCCAGCTCTCAAACGACATCCTGCGATGTGCAGTTAACCAAAATTACAAAAACCAAGAACAGTTTGAGCGATAAACTAGAAGCACCAACCACATCAGACACCGATGAAGAACATTCCTGAAACGGCTGGCTAAATTTTGAAGAAGTCTGAGTAGAGATTAAAGTCGTTTCATCCACAGTTGTTCGAGAAGAAAACTAAAATTACACGTTAAAAATTAGTCTATTGACAAACAATAAACTAGCATTTTGTATAAGGTGCTGTTAATGGCGAAATTACTAACGGTATCATTAAGCGTTGGTACGATCTGGTCACAAGACGAGGGGAGGTTTGTCGGAAGACTGCACAGAAAGTACTACAACACATTAATGCCTTAATTTTTAACAAAATCAAATTGTAAAAAACTGTTCGTTCAACTAATCTTTACAGGTATTTAACAGGTAATATGTAAAATGCAAAAGCGTTTCAATAATAACATACAAAAAAAACACTGTAATATTTCATTTTTGAGCATATTAAACAAAGAAACCTTCCGAACTCACATCTTTCCGAATTTTCTTATTTGGAATCGAATTAGAAAGTTCAGAAAACGTTCTTTTTTGAGGACTGTTTGAAGTACCATAATGTTCAAATCCTTGTGAGTGCTTTAAAAATCTCAATTATACCTGCTTAAGTTAACGTAATAAGAAATAAAACTTTTAAACAGTACCACATTATTAGCTTAAAAGTGGAGAGGCTGTAATTCTGCTGTTAAACTATAAAGCCAAAAAAGTACCACGTCTTTTTAAAGGAATTGTGAAAAGGTCATAGTTTTTATTACAGTTGTATAAGAAAGAAAAAGTAATACCGAAAGATAGAAAACATCTTGAGATGCTGGCAGTGCGGTAGATTCGTTCTCGCATCTGGTGATCGTAATGTACTGTGAAATTACATTAACAAATGCACCATGATCACTTGCCAAAATAAACTTTATTCTGAACTTGGAAGTAACAATGCCAGCCTAAAATGAGCGAGAAATTACTTATTTGAAACGTTTTTGAGTGGTAACTGTAACTTTTTCCGCAAAGTATTATGTCTTTTTAGTAAAAACATTGTTTAATAAACTTCTCAACTATCACAATCACAAAAGTAAGTGGTTGGTGAAAAGTTGTTAAATAGCAGCACGATGAAAAGCCAACTTTGGAAACTGTTCTAACAAAAACATCTCGATCTCGAATTTTAAACACTGGAGGCGGATTTCCAATAAGAGCTAATTCTTCCAAAACCGTAACGCCATTTACAACACTGATATATCTTCTGGAGATGTTGACAGTGACATACAAATTACCAAGCGAAGGCAAAATTTCCTAAACATCGCTCACGACTTATTAATGAAATAAAAGTTTTAGCAACCTCAAATGAAAGATAATTTTAAAGATTATCAGAAAATGCTCTCAATAAATGTTTATTTCGAAATTAAAATTTTTTTTTATGTTGAAAAACCAGGTTACACTAGAAGAAAAAGCAGAACATGTTTAAATATAGCGGAACGTGTTTAAACATGTTCACTATTTATAAATAGTCGAGAAATATATAATCAGGGACAAAAATCAAGGAAAAGTGAAAAACTAGTACTTGGCGACGACCATTCAAGTTTGTATATTTCATCAGTGTCCATGTAGTTTCTGTGACACCCGACAACTGCGTATCAAACATAATTCTCTTCATATGACGTAAAAGTCATAAAACAAAAAGAAATTGAAGAAAAAAATTTAATTAAGCCATATTCAAGGTTCCAGTCTTAAAATAAAAAGAAAAATAATAAATCTGCATAGAACTTTTAAGAAGTTTATCATAATTTATTAAAAAGCACTCCATCTATATAACGATCTCAAAATAACTATTTTAATATTCTGCAGTGGCTATATTGTCAAGTTCTAAAACCAGTAACTAAAGTACCGCCGGCTAAACAACATATCCCATCATCCTCTTTATACGACCGACCAGCTCCAAGCAAAGTTGTAATGCAAATACACAGAAATCCGTTTTAGTGGCCGTTGATGTAGCGATAAATTATGCTTCCTAAGGAAGTGCTGCAATCAGTTGGATCAAAAAGCCGTTTTTTGGAAACACCCGACAGCTTCACAGCGTTGCCACCTAAATGCATCTTGATTGTTATTTATCTTCGGTGATCCTTTTATTTTTAAGCAAGTAAAGCGCTTTCTATTAGCCCGGAGCCTCGCTATTCGTTGTATCAGTTAGGCAGCAGTGACCAGAAATTGCTGCGAACTAGAGACTTTAACGTAACATATGTAAAAATTACGGAATTGATTCCAGACTAAAAATTCCAACATGATGAAAATATCAAAATCGACTGCTCTGTTGTTGTACCTGAATAGCGCACCTGAACCAAAAAAAGTCTTTGCCGTTTATATTTATTTTTCATTTGTCTACAGAATCCTCAGCATAGTTTACTCACTTGTAAAACCTGCAGTAAAATCTGCGTTTTTCTATTATACCTTTTAAACTTTTAATTTTTAAGCTTTAGCCTTTACTTGTTGAGAGGTCTCATTGTACATATACTTGCTTCACAGCAAACAGGCACAGTTTTTTTTTCTAGATATAAACGTTTTCACTATTGAGGTCGGAAAAAAAAAACAGATTAACAGTACTTTGGTCCACTTTTTTCAGTCTAACAGTCATATTTCGGTTGGAATTAAAAGCTGATATTTGAAAACATTTGTCAAATTCGCGAAACATGAGCGCACGTTTCCAATATTTTAAAGCAGTTTTTCAGTTTTAGCCATAAGCTGCTTTTTTCTATGTTTCTCACTAGTGTATGCGTCTAACCCTGAAAAAGGTTTGTTTTATAAAACCTCCACCTAATGTTGTCTTGCAAAAGTGATCTACCAAGGGTTTTCGGTACCAAACGAACTTTCCTTTCCTTAAAATTTGGTTAAAAGTCAGTTATTGCTTAATAGACTGTGAGGCGGCTCGGCGGCGGCGGAAGCTTTCTTATTGGTGACACACACCAGGAAATCTGAAACTCAACAATTTTTTCTTTCCCTTTTACAACAATTCACTTGTTTTTGAATTTGTGATTTGATACATCCTCCTTCGCTGCTCAAGGTTATTTTGAGATCTGCAGATAGGATGGATGATGTTGATAAATTAGCACCATGTTGGAGAAAGATTTGGGTTAGTTGTTAAGCGGGACTTCTGTTCTTTAACAGCAATCCTCAGAAGTTTTTCTTTTTATATTTCAGTCCTTTTCTTGGATAATTTTTCAAATATTTTTGTTTGTGGTCAATTAACTATTTTTAAAATAATTTGAAAGGTACAATTTGCTCAATATGCCGCTGTTGATATGGCTAGATCTTGAAGGGCCGTGACTGCTATGAAGGTACTAAAAGATCGGATCTTTTTGGGTCAGTACCGCTTTTTTTGAACTGGCAATAGTGCTCTAGTCACTTTTTCTATTTCGAGCACTAAGGTGCTTAATGAGCTTACTTATAACCGTTCTGAAGAAGAGGTGAATCACAACTCCTAACAAATTTATTGAACCGTAATGTAAAAGGATAGTGAATATTAATGGATTTACGCTTGGATCAGATGCATTTGGGCGGGCAATTTTAGAGTATTGCGGATCAATTGGCAATCATTTGTAATACAACAAAAGCCATAGAAAAAAGTATGGTCTTTCCTGCTGAAAACTGTTGAGAAGGGCTGACAGATAATTATCAGTGCTTCCCTGCAATGGTTGAAATAAGTACTTTAATGTGGCAGTGCTTTTCCAGCAGATGCGCTAATTTATGATTCATTATAATTGAACTGTCAAATCGGTTGAAAGTCATGTAGTCAAAATTATCGCATTTTCCATCCAAAGTGACAACACCTCTTGCCAATTGCGGAAGAAACTACTATGTCCAAAGAAACTAAGCAAACAAATGTAAGTCTGTTTTGGGGAAGCTCTAGCATCTGCTGCGCTTGAATGCAAAGTTACTTGGATGTAGTGGGTTCACGATGCGGTGTGATAACAACTTATTTTAAATGGAAAGTTTGTTGCCGCACCTTCCTCACGATGTCCAATCCTGAGAGCACGCTCACGACTGTAAAGAGTAGGAGTGCCACTTGAATGTGAATGTTAAAGAAGAGAGACCAAATGAGGTTGCTAATCGTGGTTAGATTTACCCGAATGCTTTCAGTTCAAGAATCTCCTGCATGCGATAACAGTCGTGGCACCCTTCGTCGCATAAATCCTATCACTTTTTTGAATTGGCGCCACTGGCATTGTTTCAAGAAGAGCATTAACGACTGGAAGTTGCTTCTTTTCTACATCATCTTAGTAGGTGTACTTATACTGCATAACGACAGATTTACCACCGGTACTGGCATCCAGGATAAATGCTTCCAAGTACTAGCGAACCGACTTCGGCTGCTGCGGATACTGCAAATTTGGTGGAAAAATTAAGTCGATACGAACAGTTAGGCCAAGAAGTGATCGTCGGGAAGAGAGCGTTGGTGGAGTTGGACGAACGCAGGCAGAAATGCCGAGAAGCTACAAGACAGATCCAGAAACAAAGAGATCTGGTGCTTTTCATTTGTTGCTTCCTTTTTTTCAACGCTTATAGTCACTTCTCCTGCTAAAATTTATAGCTAAGTAGATATTTTGAGTGCAAAGTTTTATTTTCTCAGACATTTTATGTCCGCAATATTCTGAAGAGGTTAAATTACTGCTTAATTTTTCTAATAGTTATTCTTTGTCCGCTGTGTTGCAGGAGGGTAAAAGCTGTCTTAGTGGAGGGTTTAAAGGATTAAAATCTTTCAAATTGAAGTGTTGATGGGTAAAAATGATAAGGCCAGAAATGTGAGAGTTAGAAGTCCGTAGTTGAAGTTGATTGTTACATTTCTGTGCTAAGGATAAATGCTTCAACGAATATTGTTTTCTTTGATTACGTAGACCTTTCAGGCAGCAAAATAAAGTTATTTAGTTGGTTTCAGGGGGATAGCTGTTGGTTGTGCTTAGGTGAATCTTCTTTTATCAAGGTGCCGACTGAGAAAGCTCTGTCTTTTTTGAAAGAAGATGTAAAAACAATCGAAGAAACTGTTAATTTTACCCGTGAGGAACTAAAGAAAAAAGTCGATGAAGTTCGCAGGATTGAAGGGTCGAAGAACCTTTCAGAACTTGGCTTTCTTCTACGTCCTGTTTATTAATAATTTCTGGAGGTCGTTAGCTTGTCACAAGTTTATTGCTGTGATAGAGGTTTTTTAGAAGCCTTTTGAATAAATAATTTTATCATGTGCAGATTTGGTGTTTACGGAACACAAGTGCTACTGTTGCTTTTTCAATCTCTACATTATTCACTGAAAAATAAATTGAAAATTTTTGTTTTTTTTTTTTTGATCCATTAGTTTAGCAACTGTTCTGGGAATTTTTTATCCAGATTGAATATTTTCAATTTCAGCAGTTGCGGGGAGGTCGTTGTTTTGGTCACAACTTTGCGACCAAAGGTGAGGCCTAACTTACTGGTAAATTTTCATATGGTCAAACAATATCACTTCTTTCTACTGACTACAAAACGGTTGGTCACTTCATTGAATCGCGTTCTTAGCGAAAAACCAGTTTTGCCATCAGACATAAATGCTAAACGAGGAGGCGAAGTTTGTTTTTCGTTTGACTGAAGCGCTGTAACTTTTAGAATTTCAAAACCTCTTATTGGTGACGGATTTCTGTGCTCTGTAAAGAAGCCATCTATATTTTATCTCTTTAATTGACATTTTGGGAAGTTTTATGAGGTGTAGTACTTTCTTTTTTTATTAAGGCGAGGTCATTTGTGGACTACGTCAGAGTGAAATGCAAAGCTGGTGATGGTGGGAACGGAATGGTATCCTTCGCCCGTTTTTGTAATATGCCTTTTGGTGGTCCAGATGGAGGGGATGGAGGAAATGGTGGTCACGTCATTTTTCAAGGTCTTTTCTCCGTTTACCTCAGATATAACGAA